ACTCACCCGCTCACCAACTCACCAACTCACTCACTCACCCACTCACCCACTCACTCACTCACCAACTCACCCACTCACCCACTCACTCACCAACTCACCAACTCACCCACTCACTCACCAACTCACCCACTCACTCACTCACCAACTCACCAACTCACCCACTCACTCACCAACTCACCAACTCACCCACTCACTCACCAACTCACCCACTCACCCACTCACTCACTCACCAACTCACCCACTCACCCACTCACTCACCAACTCACTCACCAACTCACTCACTCACCAACTCACAAACTCACCCACTCACCAACTCACAAACTCACCCACTCACCAACTCACTCACTCACCAACTCACCCACTCACCAACTCACTCACTCACCAACTCACCCACTCACCAACTCACTCACTCACCAACTCACCCACTCACCAACTCACTCACTCACCAACCCACTCACTCACCAACTCACTCACTCACCAACCCACTCACGTTGTGAGCCGCACAAACTCGTCACGAACTCACGATGTGAGCCGCTCACTTCCGTGGCGGTTTGAGTCTGAGGCCCCGTTAGGGGCGGGGCTAGGGGGCTAGGGGCGGGTCTAGGGGCGGGGCTAGGGGGGCTAGGGGCGGGGCTAGGGGCGTGGGGACAGCCCTCATCCAGCAGTGGATCGAACCACGTCTCACACGCGGTGGCGTAACATAACGCTGCATACGCGGAGCGGTCTGTAATCTGATTTCAACGGAGCATTACTTTACAACCAGCCTGCCCTGTGGGACCCTCTGGTCTGTGCCAACAGAGCCGCAAGGCCACGTTGCTAAACCCGAGCAAAGTGTTGCAATCGCCGTAAAAATATTGTCCGTTATTTAAAAAAGGAAAACCCAATTCAAAACTACAACAAAAACTCCTTTTAAAAATCCTTTATATTAAGTTCACTTGCTTGCGTGCTTGCTTGCGCGCTTACGACCGTGCAAATCTTTCGGTCGTTTTTTAACCCACTTCCCGTGATCCAATCGAGCTGACATTTTCCACAAAGACTCGTTGTGCGTGACAATTTATTTTCGTGAAATTTTTTGTACAAAATTTTCCACTTTTTAGAAAAAAATGTTTTTCATATTTAATTTAAAATACCAATGTGATCAAAATGAAACTCTTACTCAAGAAAAAGATAAATGAATAATAAAATAAAACCGATGCCACGCATATAAAGGATTTATAGTGAAAAACTTTGTTTTTACGGGTTAACTTTTTTTATGTTCAATCAGGTAAGGCCCCACGGCTGAGCACTTCCTCAGAGGCGACCCTGGCCATCGCAAATGATCGCTCAACGAAAGTGGCTTCATCATCATCACCATCATCGTCGTGTGGATGTGCACAGCAGAGGAGGACCCGGAGAAAAATCCACACGACCACGGAGAGAGAGAGAGACACGCAAACTCCAAATACACAGCAGCAGGCGTCAGGGTCGGGATCGAACCCACGACCTCCTGCACACCAGGCGAGGTAGTTAACATCTCCTAGCCACCGTGATGATGATGAGAGAGAGAGAGACAGACAAGCAAACTCCAAATATACAGCAGCAGGCGTCAGGGTCGGGATCGAACCCACGACCTCCTGCGCACCAGGCGAGGTAGTTAACATCTCCTAGCCACCGTGATGATGATGAGAGAGAGAGAGACAAGCAAACTCCAAATATACAGCAGCAGACGCCAGGGTCGGGATCGAACCCACGACCTCCTGCACACCAGGCGAGGTAGTTAACATCTCCTAGCCACCGTGATGATGATGAGAGAGAGAGAGACAAGCAAACTCCAAATATACAGCAGCAGGCGTCAGGGTCGGGATCGAACCCACGACCTCCTGCACACCAGGCGAGGTAGTTAACATCTCCTAGCCACCGTGATGATGATGAGAGAGAGAGAGACAAGCAAACTCCAAATATACAGCAGCAGGCGTCAGTGTAGGGATCGAACCCACGACCTCCTGCACACCAGGCGAGGTAGTTAACATCTCCTAGCCACCGTGATGATGATGAGAGAGAGAGACACGCAAACTCCAAATATACAACAGCAGGCGCCAGGGTCGGGATCGAACCCACGACCTCCTGCACACCAGGCGAGGTAGTTAACATCTCATAGCCACTGCTTGGCCCGAGGTGCTGACACTCCAATGTCTTCGTCACCACCGTGGGGGGGGGGGGGGGGTGGCGAAATCAATGGTGGAGCACGTGGGGGGGGGGGGGGGGTGAGAACCGAGGTCACTTTCAACTCGGAGACAACCCAGTCGATGCCTCTCTCCATCCCTCCCCTCCTCATCTGTCTCCTTTATCTCGGGCGGCAGACGTGTCAATCCTACGTTTGCAACCCCGTCGCGTTTAGCGTTGTCGATTCTTATCCGTGGAGCCAATTCCATTGAATGCGCTCGCAACGCTTCTCGTGCTGCCTGGGCGGTCATGGGAACGCTCTCTGCTATCGACTACAATTCTGGCCACCTGGTTGATTACGTTCTTCCAAAGATTGCTAAATTGGGAAGTTAAGTGTGAAATTTGTAAGTGTTGACCGAGCCTCTCTGTGTTGCATTGCATTATATTTCGAAATTTGGCTCGGTTTATTTGCCAGTAAAAATATGATAATTGTTTTTTACCTTTTTACATTATCAGAGTTATGTCTTTTGTTTGTAATATGACTGCAGGTATTGCGGTATATACAAACATGACTCCTTGTAAAAATGTGTCAGTTTTGTTGCCAGATAGAAGGGTAAAAAACCAATTATCAGGTTTATTTGATTTAGTGTACTTTCTCTGTCTCCACTCGTTTTTGTCGTTCTTATGTTCTGCTCTCTCTGTGTGTCTCGGCTGTTGTCCATCTCCCTCTCTGCAGCGTGCCACTCATTGACATGCTAATTTCTCTAAGCATTCTCTCTCTCTCCGTCCCCTCTCTCTATTTAAGGCCTCGACACAGAGACGTGGTTTCTCTGTGTGCCTATGTGTGTGTCTCTCTCTATGTATCTCTGTGATATCTGTCTCTACTTATATGTCTGTCTATATGTCTCTGGTTCTGTGTTTAATCTCTCTCTCAAATTTAGCATTCTCAGGAAGAACGTAATCAACCAGGTAGGGTGTTGACTGTTATGTTATCCGACTCTCTCTGTGGTATTACATTACATTTCTAAGTATACTAGATTTGTGTTTCTATTTCATTTATACCTGATGATGATTGCTTGTGTTGCAATCGAAGCGTCGTATGCTAGTATTTAATTTATTATTTTATCCTTATACGTGACTTTACCGAAAGAACCAAAGAGTAATTCCTGCAGTCACGAAAGCTCCAAATTAAGTTTGATCTTGGCTCTCCAGAAACCGAAGCCTCCTTGTTGCACAAAAGTGGTGAACCATTTACCCCGATTGCCTATCTTTCATCTTCTTGGTTCTTTCGGTAAAGTCACGTAGAAGGGAAATAATAAAATAATAAAAATAAAACATCATAAAATACAATTCTCACGACGTTTCGGCCACAACGCAAGCAGCCGTCCTCAGGTGAAGAACAGATCTGTCGGAAAGACAGCATCTGACCTGTTCAGCGTCAGACCTGTTCTTCACCTGAGGACGGCTGCTTGCGTTGTGGCCGAAACGTCGTGAAAATTGTATTTTATTATGTTTTATTTTTTCATTTCCTTTCTACGTGACTTTACCGAAAGAACCAAGAAGATGAATCCCTGCAGTCACGAAAGCGACCCTGGTGCGACCGGGTACGGGTACGGGTAAGGAATCAAAACCCGTTTGCGACCTCTGATATTGGCACTGCACTTCCCGTGCACATGCATCATGCAGTCGCATCCCATGATGCCACTGCATCGACACACGGACAATGTGTGTCACTCCACTGCTGGATGATAAGGGCAGCACATTTTGCCTTGGAGGCCGAGGTCGCAACCGGGTACCCGATACCCGTACCCTACCCGATACCCGGCTACCCGTACCCGGCCAGGTACGGGTACCCGTTTGCGACCCTGGTGCGGCCGGGTACGGGTAGGCCGTGAGTCACTGGTGAGTCACCGTTTGTCACTCATTTCCCAACGTCTTGTATCTTCTGACAATTCAAGTTCCTAGAATCAACCCACCCACGCCTGCAACATGGCTTCATCCCAGAGGTCGCAATCGGGTACCCGATACCCATACCCTACCCGTACCCGTTTGCGACCCTGGTGCGGCCGGGTACGGGTAAGGAATCAAAACCCGTTTGCGACCTCTGCTTGGATGCCGCGTTGGGGTATTTCACCACACAATGACTGTCGTCACCACGTGGTGGAGTTTGGCCAGCCCAGGTGTCTGGTGATGTGGTCGAGAGGCAATTCTGCAGGGTGGTCCGAATGTCTTGTGACCCCTCCTCCCCCTTCCCACTATTTATTGAGCCCTTAATAATGCTCTTTGGGTGTTTCGGTGAAGACCCTTGACGTTGTTTTCCTTCCCGTCTCTGCGTGTTTATTTTCTTCTTCTTCGATCTCCACGCTGTCCCAGGTACTCATTTGAGGCCGAGTCGACCTAGGGGAGGCCCAGGACCGGTTCAAATAATCGTCACAGGGTGTTGGCCATGAGCGGGAATCGAACTCGGGTCGCCAGGTTAGTAGCGCAGCGCGCTAACCCCTACACTACCGCTCCACACACAGACGCACGCACACACAGGCACACACACACACACACAGACACACACACATAGACACAGGCACACACAGGCACACACACACAGACACACACAGGCACACACACACACAGACACACACAGGCACATACACACACGCACACACACAGACACACACACACAGGCACACACACAGAGACACACACGGGCACACACACACACGCACACACACACGCGCACACACAGGCATACACACACACACAGTGACACACACACACAGGCACACACACATGCACACACACACACGCACACACACACAGACACACACACACAGGCACACACACAGAGACACACACAGGCACACACACACACGCGCACACACACAGGCACACACACACACGCACACACACACAGACACACACACACAGGCACACACACACAGGCACACACACACACAGGCACACACACACACAGGCAAAAGACAAAGACAAAGATCCCCGTATAGCCTTAACAGACTGTAGGGGCAAGTGCTGTTAGCGAGCACCTATGAAGGCCGGAACGGTACACGAGGGGGTGGGTGGCCAGCACCACGCCCGACCGCCTTTGTCTCCCCAGTGGCGATGTTTACACACCGCACCAGGTACTCACTTAAGGCTGAGTCGACCTAGGGGAGGCCCAGAACCGGTTCAGATAATCGTCACTGGTGTTAGCCGTGAGCGGGAATCGAACCCGGGTCGCCAGGTTCATAGCGCAGCGCGCTAACCGCTACACTACCGCTCCCCACGACACACACAGGCACACACACATGCACACACACACAGACACACACACACAGGCACACACACACACGCGCACACACACAGGCATATACACACACACAGGCACACACACACACAGGCACACACACACAGGCACACACACACAGACACACACACAGGCACA